AGAGATCCTGACATTTTTATTTGTCTGAATATCTTTATCCATTCTTTTCTACTCACCTTGAGGTGTTTCCCAATAAAAGGAAATAATTAGATAAGAAAGAGTCTATGAGAACAGTTCTTCTTTCTAGTTTTCTGACATTACAATTTTGCCTATGAGAGTACCTTATGCTAGTATGTGGGCTGAGTATGGACAAAAGCCACACTTACACAGTTAACATTCATCTCCACAGAGATTTACCAATGAGTATTTTTAATGGTTGGGGGGAAAAAATCAACCCCCCCAAAACAAAGAACCAAACAAAAAACCCAAAACAATCACTCCCCAACCACATGGTAGAGCCTTTTTCAACAATTTCAGTTTCAAACAGCTTATACTGAAATAATGAGGGCACATTACCAACACAAACATAGATGAAAATCAAGTAAATCGAGTACAACATCTCTGAAGAATAATAATGAATATACCATACACAGCTTCTGTTCTTTTATTCTTAACAACCAAAACAATCTCTTATATGTTTGATGTATCTTATATATATCAGAATATATGAGTATATATTATTATACAACTCATTTTTTCTTAAATATACAAGGTCTGTATAGACCTTTACCTACAGGAATACTGTTCTTGTGTCCTTTCTTCCCAGAGATCTCCCAGCCTACAGCCTACACGATAAGCAAAGGAATTTATAGCAATTAAATTGCATGGCAGATTTATACTGCCTGGACATCTATGTATTGTACTGGAATTACCTTTTTATTTTTAAAGTTACTGAAGAGGAGACATCAGAACACAAAATCTGGGTTTGATTTATTATTTATATTAGTGACATTTAAATGACCATCTAATGGATACTGGCAAGAATGTACCAGGTACCTGCCAATAATATTTAAATGGAGAGGAAGTGAATGTATTGATACCGATGAGATCTGTATTCTTGCAAGTGCATTTTCAAGTTTTGTTTTGGTCAGATGAAATGATCCTTAACTGCAATTACTTATGAAATTGCAAGTCTGCCAGTCAAGTCACTAATTGCTTTCTGTAACATTATGAGTTATTCATGTACTTTCCACTCCAAATGCTTCTCCTGTCCAACAACTGTTTAATCAGGACTGGCCAGACTGTTACATCTACAGTTTATGGTGCATAAGAAAGAACAGCTGAATATCTTTCAGTCTAGAAAGAAAAGAAAAATTCCACACAGTATTATTGCCTGCACATCTGTAGAATCTGAAAAGCTACTCTAAGAGAACACATGAAAAGCTGAATAAAACTAACAGAATGCACTTACGTTTGCATTGTGTGTGTTACATCAAACTTTTCCTCAGGAAATATCTCAAAACACCATAGCCAACATTTTTATTTCTTTAAGTTCAGTTGTGACAATTTAATATCAAAATATTCTCAAGTATACAAAATAGGCAACTGCCTCTGTTATCTGTAGTGCAGATTTTATGCTAACTAGGCATTACTACAAGCATATCAGAGGAAACCCACTACTGTTTCTTTGTATCAGTCCACATCTTGTATGCTTTTTTCCAACATAAATACTAGGTAGAATGTATATATGCTGAGTATGAAGCCGATGAACATCATCATACTAAATACTGTTGTTATCTGTGTTTTATTCAGGTAGCTGCAGCTCTCTTTTCCCACCTCCCATCACATTGGCTAGAAGTGGACAAAAGGATCAGAAATTCAGTTTTGGCTTCTATTGCTGTGCAGGACATAGAAGTAAAAATAATGAGGGCATGACTTTAGGGGAGTCATGCTGCAGATAGTGGTATCAGCAGTAAACAATTCAAGATGTATGTGAATGGGGATAATACCCCATTTGGCTTGTAGCTGGCCAAAGTGCACAACTGAAGAAAAGTGTAAAGAGCTTTACGGAAGACCTCATAAGAATGCAGGGTCCGTAATGCAGAGGTGTAACTGAGGAATGGGCATCCTAATACAGGACCTTTAGGCACATGGGGCTTCAGACTGACACATTTCCTGGCAGCCCTGCAGCAGGCAGAGCTATGTACATCTACTGCTTAGTTCATATATGATGCATCAGTGGATCATAGCTCATCTGCTGTATCTTCTGCTCGTGTCACAAAATAGCAGTGTTCATTTTTTTTTCATTTCATTCAATTCATTCATTGAAGAGTATTCACCTGTGCTACTCTGTGAATATGTGAAAGTGCGGAGCAGGAGTGGGAGAGGAACACAAAGTAAATGAACCAGGCTCACATGGTGTAGAAAACTAGACAGTCAGGACACATTACATGCTGTGCAGTCCTTCCAGTCTTCTCCCACCTTCCCAAAGAAGGAAAATGACAAAGTTGCAGAGCATCTGCAACCCTACAAAATAGAGCTGTGTGCAGCAAGTTATTTACTACTCTTGTGGTCTGCAATCAAAGGCTACTGGTATAAGTTCCCCAAACTAGCCTACTAAGATAACTTTTTGTTTATCAATTGCAATAGAGAGCTGTAACTGAAGAGACAGAAGGCAGGCGTCAGCAAGTCACTATCAAACATTGGTTCTGCATAAAATACTATGCAAAATGACAATTTCCACTGTACCAGACAAAGCTTTCCTCAAATGGAATGGATTAATTCAGTAACATAATGCAGGGCCAGAGTATTGCAACCAACAGTACAAGGTCCAGTTGGAGGCTTATATATAATTATATATAATAATTATATATGTGTTGTATTTTCATTAAGGTGCTAGACAATGGGGAGAGCGCAGCATCAGCAAGTCCACAGATAATACTAAACAGGGAGTAGTGGCTGAAACATCACTGAGTTGTGATGCCATTCAAAGGGTCCTGCTGCTTACCAGCCTGCAAGGAGTGCCATCAGGAAGCTCTTCCTTTGCTTTCTGTCTCCCACAGCCTTTTGATGCTTTTCTGACTTTTCTACTCCTAGCACAAGGCAACATGTCTCACTTGGCAGGACATAGCATCAGGCACTGAGGAGGCTATAGGGGAGAACAACTCTGCTGTAATGGATGGTAGCTTGGGCCATATGCCCCAGGCAGGACTGGTGTCACTCTCTTCCCATGTGTAATATGACAAGAGGAAATAGCCTCAAGAAGTACTGGGGAGGTTTAGTTTGACTATCAGGAAAAGTTTTTTCACTTAAGGGGTTATCAAGCATTGGAACAGGCTGCCCAGGGAAGTAAAGTCACCAGTCCCCAAGGTATTTAAAAGACCTATAGACATCGTGGTTAGGGACATCTAAAGGATTTTAAGAATCTTTTCCAGCCTAAATGTTTCTGTGACTCTCTGATTCTCTTACTTTGAAAGTCATTGCAAACATGGAGGTTTTGAATGTTCTAGTTCCTGTCTCCTTCCTTCCTGCTTACTTGTTTCCCTCAGATACCTCTATGTTACCATGTCATTGCTTTTTATCCACTCCGCACCACACATACTGCTGGTTAGGAGATGAACACACATCATCCTACCTCTGGCTAAGTGGTCCTTGAAGGCAGGCTCCAAGTCTTCAATATCACTTTCAGGGAGGGTGGAAGAGAACAGATTTGCTGATAGGTTTTATATAAGGAAGGAACTTGGACAGATCAACACTGGCTCTTCACCAGCACTGTGCAACTCATTTGGAGAAAAGGACAAAATAATCCCATATGTGTGTCATGCCAAGAATGGTACTGTACAGCACTACTGGTCCAAAACACCTCAGTAATATTGTAGTGAACAAATCAAACAGAAAAATACCACCACAATCTTTATCTGTAGGAATTGTTTTCATGAAAGTAGTTATTGAAAGTTCCTTTATGTCATACCTTTAATTTCAGACTTAAAAAGATGTAGGGGGGTGGGGGGCAAGGTGGGAGGGGATAAACTCACCTTCCCTGGCTACAAAAGATCCTTATGGCTACCAAAATTAAAATTTACTTCAACTTGGAAGTATTTCAGATCAGGCTACTCCTCGAAGTACTGTTTATTTTTAGATTAGTCTCAGTATTTACAATACAGTCATTGGAATGATTTGCCCAGACACAAGTTCTTAAAATAGAGAGGAAAAAAACATCCACTGATTGCAATTTAGATAATCACACAAAACTTTAGATAATGGTTAAAAATCTTCTTATCTATTTTGGACATAATTTCTGCATTTGAGATGGCTGTTCGCTCTTGGTCTTAGAAAATCTTGCTCAAGGATTAGTAATAGAGTAGCAGAAAATGTATTTGGGTTCACTGTTTTCTCCTCTTCTAAAATCCTCCAGGGGACAAAAAGTGCTGATTTTTATTCAAGTCAGAACAGTTACAATGTGAGGCTGTAAAATGGTGATTAGCCCCCCAAAGGGCTGAATGTAAGGCCTTAAGAGGGCTGAAGGAAGTGTGGCTGGTTGCACACAAGATGCTCTTGAGCATAACAGTAAAAGAGGGTCTAAAGTGCAACTCTCCCCTTAGCTGTTAAATCTGACTTTTAAGGATGCTACAAGTGCAAGCAATATC